TTGCTTAGTTCAGTTCACTCGAGCTACTCAAGGCGTACGCAGCGAGGCACGCCGAGCGGAAGAATACATACATATATATAAAATAATATATCTTCCATATAATACGCGAGTGTGTGAATGTGTGAATGCGTATGATATACGCTTATCAAATGACAACGCATTAAGTTTCAAAACAGACTAAATAAAAAAAGTAATTAGAGTTCAGTACTTACCAAATAGTTGTGCAGAAATTCTCGCAAAATGGTCACTCTAATGCCATATAACTATGCAGCGCCCCGTTGCGGATTAATTGATAAAATGATTGAGCCAAAGGTAATCAATAAAACAAATAATAATTATAGTCTAAGCCAAATCATGTTAAATACAAGAGAAGCCTTAAAGGTGTCGCGGTTTACGGTTAGTTTCTTTAACTCAAACTCGATGCTCTTTAAAGCTCTTGCAACTTTTACGTCGAGTCTGCGGCTTTTCCGTCGGTTAACTTTATTGCTTTTATTGTGGTTTATCTGTGGGGCTTCTCCATATTTGGGCACAGTGTGACAAAGTCTACATAAAGCTTGGTTCAGTACTGAAAGATGAAATGATTTAAAACAAAAAAAAACCGTTGCTTAGAAATCAGATGATGATCATAATACAATATGCTTCGTGTTAAAGCCAATTGCGAATATGTTAGCTAAAGACGACCACAAAGTAGGAATTATACAATTCTCTTTGAGAGCTCAGGAAACAGTTTTGCTTAGCAGAGCTGTGTAATTAACATAATTTTATTTGCTTAAAATAATTCATTTCACTGAATTTATTTAGTACAGATAAATATATAAATGTTCAAGCATAAATATTATATAAATAATATAATGTAAATATATGTATGCTCCCTGTAGTAGGAGAAGGAACATGTACAGTTATTTGTTATTTGCTGAAAAGCTTACCTTCATGATGTCCCATCCATATCACGTATTAGTCTTAGTCTTAGTCTAAATTCGTCAACATTCAAAGTAGGCCATGTTCCCTCTATATTTATGAATGGAAATTCAATAGGTACGTTTCCAATTTGATATTTAAAGTTTATTGTTAAACAATTTGTTTATTGCCTAGTATAAGACTGATTGCAAATAAATACAGCAAAATTAAAAAAATATATATTTAAAGTAAAAAAAAATTAATGTTGTAATTTCTCCTACATATATACATATTATAAAATATATAATATATGGATTCCATAATTCATGGCTAATTAGCTGCATCATTAAATATTATTTGGATTCCCCTTTATTTTAATTTAAGTAATTTTCACTCAATATCTGCGATTATTCTGTTAATTGAATCAATTAGTCCCAAAAATTTTCAAAGAAAATAGCGTAGGCAGTTGAAACCATTCTGGCCTTCCCTTGACTGGGCCACAGCTGCTCGTCTCGTCGACTTGTTTGCCTGATTTAATAGAGCCACAGACTAGCTACAAAAGTCGACAAGTTTTTTATGGGTGACTCTGCGCACTTGGCTAAAACAAAGTCGAGGCAATGGGCAAGCGAGACTTTGGGCCCAAGTATTTTTGTCGCAGCGTCACGAACCGCTTGGGCCAATGAGTGGGGCAAACGGGCTTTAAGGCGAAATATTAATAGAGCATAAATTACGGCACTGAGGGAGTTGAACAGTTGAGCGGAGCAGCGGAGCAGCTGAGCCGTTGACCGATCGACCAGTTGGGGCTGGAGCTGGTGCCTTTTTCTCTTTCTGGGTTTATGACAATTTAAGGAGCTTGGCCCATACACAAAAAGAGAAGAAAACAAAAACAAATGATGAAGCAAAAGGCCAAAACGTGTTTGGCGACATTAATCACATTTTAATTAAGTATAAGCCGTAATCGTAAAAATTAACACGCCATAATTCAACTGCGACAATGCGCTGCATGTAATTTATGTGCCACCAGCCACCAGCCACCAGCCGCCAGACAGAAAGAAAGAAAGAAAGAATCCCCCTCTGATCCATCTGAGCCACTCAACCATTCAACCACTGAGCAAGCAGTCAAAATATTGATTATGGCCGCAGCGATTGACACTTGGCGATTGTCGATTGTCCCACGTAATTAACGTGCCAAAGTGTTAAGGCGCATAGGTCGTGGCCCCACAGACAACGAAAACAACAACAACAGCAATAAAAACAAGTAAGAGCAAGCAGACTGAACGACTAGCGAATACCCTGGACAGTCGCACAACCAATTGCGCCTTGAAATCAATGCCTAAACATATTGTAAAATAGGCAGAGAAATACAAATGAAAATATAAATTAGAAAATCCAAAAATGCCATATTAAGCACACAAATCGATATTTATATAACATGTGAAATCGATAACAAATTATCATATACAATTAACAATATATTTAGTATAATATTAGCTTTAATTTAGTCACCTGTCACATTTGCAGCCTACGTGCTTAAGAACCCTCAGTAATCAGTACAGGGTATGTCAACGACAACAACAACAACAAGCAAAGTACAAATGACAACAACGCGAGGGAGCTACAAATTTTTGTTGTTTATTTCGATGTTTATCGGTTAGAGGCTTAGTAGGGTCCGAGCCACAGAGCCACGGAGCCATAGCCAGAGCTCGGGTCCAAACGAACGTTGCAGGCGGGCAAGTTAATAAAAAATTTGTCGCCGTCTTCGTTGTCTTTTGTGTGTGTGTGTGTGTGTGCGTGCGTGTGTGTGTGTGGTTTGTCTGTTTTAATCTTCTTCTAAAGCAGCAGAGAGACAAAAGATTACGATCACAGGAATTTCGTTAAAGATGCTCAAAACAGGTCTTTATATAGTAACTGCCTCCCTCTCTATCTGTCTCTCTCGGCCATTCTATCACTCTCCCTCTCTCTCTCTCTCTGTTGCTGTCTCGTGATGAGCAGGCAGCCTCCTTGTTTCTGTGTTAATGTTTACGTTGTCAGCTTGTGCCATAAATTAGTTTAGTAAAAGGTTGCGTTGCATTCGGTTTTGCATTCGTGTCTCTCGGATTCAGTTGCTGCCTGCCCCCAAAGCCCAAACTAAAATCAAAACCAAAACCAAAACACAGCATCGTGCAACACGCAAACCCATTCCCTACCCGCCCCCCTTGAACAAATATGCAGCTGTGCCGCAGCGCGTCATTAAACGCTACCGTTGAAAGTCCGTTGAAAATAAATTTGCCAAAATGCAAAAAGTGAACTTCCAAAATATGATGGACACTGCGAGCGTGCGTGCTTGTGTGGCCAATGGAAGCTGCTCCCAAAAAAGAAGCAGGACGACACTCAAGCGGCTCACGAATGCCCGATCAAAGTCAAAATTCCAGCAGCTTTGCCTGCTGTAGGTAAGCCATCATCAGGGAAGACCTAGTGATGCCCCTCATCCGGCTTCCGTTTCACATAATAACTTCCTTCGCTGCAATCCTCTATGGCATTCCTTGGCATTTTATCCAGTTTGAATCTTGCTTTCAATGATTTTTATATGTATTTCTGCCTTCTTCAGTTTCACTCAAAGACTTCAATTAAATCTTCTAATTGCTTTTCTTGGATTGCCTTCAGTTTTATTTCTTGTTCAATTTCTTATTATTGTGAAGCTTCTTCTCTTTTCATTTCTGGTTGTAGCTAGTTGCTTACATCATTTTATATTCTTTTTGGTAGAATTTCCTTAGCATTTTCTACCTGAATACATAGCAAATGTTATGCATATATTCTCGATCTGAGTCGATCTTGCTATTCTGTCAGTTATCTCTTGCCATCTCTTATCTAAATATACACAAATTTATATTTTCCATTCAATTGAAGCTTGTTGCAGTCATCATGCGCCTTTAGTTTTGCTCCTTCGGAGCTCCTTTCGGCTATGACTTTAAACATTTCTAAAACCACTTTGCGAGCTATCTTTGTGCAGACTTCTACATAGTATTCATTTTTCCGCTCTTAAAAATAACTTTTAATGCTTTTTAGACTCTTTCATACTAATACTTTTCTTGTAAATTCTTTGCTCTGTCATTTTTCGCCTCTCTGGCTCTTTGCACCTGGGATCTAGGCTTAGTGATAACTACGGCATTAGCTTAAAATCTTTGCCTCAAGGTCGTAGGCCTTGGACAATTCTGTCCTGTCTTCTATCTCTTCTGATCATTATATATACTTTACGATCTTTTTTTTTTGATTTTTTACATCACTCCTCAACTATTTAGTTTCCAATTTTCTACTTTGTACACCTTCTAAGTCTCTGAATACCTATTTCATTTAATTTTTTTTCGATTCTTGTCAACATTTCCAATGCAAGCAAAAATTGTCATTGGAATAGAAATCTTGGGGTTCTGCTGTCTTTAGCGCTCATCTCTGCAGTTTCTTTCTTGCTCTAGAATCGCTTATTGTATCTTTAATCCTTTGCCTCTTGGTCTCTTGTCATCATCGGTTGGCTAATGTTATAGCTGGCCTGTCTCAATTAACTGACATTTCGTTCAGCGGCTTAGCTTGACTTCTGCCGCTTCTATCGTTAGCTCGCTGGAGCCATTTGGGGCCACCTGCTGGGCGCACCCTCCGTGGCAATTTGTTGGCCATTCGTCACATGGCCCCCCAATTGGGCAATTGGGCAATGGCGCCGAGATTGGGAGCGCTGTCAACCCATCGAAAAGCCGGTCAAAAATATTCCCACGCACGTTAAATTCGCTGGCGCAGCGAATGCTGAATGCAAATTATGTAAAATGTGCTGTTTTTTCCCCCTGTTTTATTTTTATTATTTTCGTTTTTTATTGTTTTTTATTTTTTTTGTCTTACTTTGCTTGCATTGCGTCGCAAAAGTGAGCTTTTGGCGACGAAAACGCCTGCCTCAGCGGAACCACCACGACGAGGTGTTGGAGCAAATGGCATTGTTTATAAACAACGGCCAAATCGCTCGAGACTCTTGTATAATAATATATGCCAACCAAGTACAGATAATCCTTGTGTCTTTTATATATATCTTATATATTTTATTTCATTTCCATCTTTCTGTCTCTCTCTCTCCTTACTTATAGGTTAAGCGTCCCAAAACAGAGCACACGGATACACATGAACGCAATCGGTAAGCTTATATGTATTTGTGAATAATTATTGCTTGAATGATTGAATGATTGATGGCCTAGCAAGGGCTCTAAGAGCTGAGCTTAAGAAAAAAGTCGCGATTCTGGCGAAAGCTGTGTTCACTTCCACTCGCTTGTGTGGAATATGAGTGGAAATATTTTTTAATTTATTTAATTTATGCTTTGACTATACATACAAACTAAAATCGATGAACAATATGGGCACTATCTCATCACAAAACTAACATAAAGCTGAAGCTATAAGGCGAATACAAAACTCTGTAAGTTTTTAATTGGATTTGTAAGAAGATGTTACACTCTAAAAGTGGTAAGGCAGAGCGAAAATTAATGAATGACTTAATTAGCTACAATTTTAAAGAAATCTAATGTAAATACATTTTGTTGAAACATTCTTAAGATTTCCTGCAGAGTCCTAATCTCTCTTATAGAATTCCTTTGTAAAGTGGATCAATGCCACTGATAATATTTTTTGTTAAACATTTTTTGTTTGAAATTCACTTGATATGTGAATTTGCTATTTCTATATCGAATCCACTAAGAGCATAGATTTTCACAGCTTCGATCCACATAGTACCTGCTGGTCGAAGCATGTGTTAAAGACGCTGGTTGCAGCTGTAAGCGTAGACAATTTGTAACAGTTATCTACCATATTTTCTCTAAGAGTCCTCTTCACACTTGCCGCTCAACAAGTGTCCACGAAATGCGACAAATTTCAATTGCTTTGCATTTTGCATGTGACCCTTAAGATCTTTAGGAGCGCCCTCAAACACATGCGCCGTTCAAAAGCAGTTCGAGAATTCAAGGAATTTCTCGCATGCCTGAATTGAAAAAAAAAATATATATATATATATATATATATATATATATATATAAATATATATTGAGAGAGAGCGTCAGAGCACTTAACACTTGGCTGGCAGCAAAAGGGGGCGAGAGCGACCGGACCATGCCCAGCTACTTAAGGGGCTTAGGGCGGCTTAGCTGGTTGCTTTTAGGGCCTATTAAATGCAGCTCCTTTTGTTGTAGGTGCTCGGTGGCAACTGCTTAGCCACATTTTCCATTCGCTCATTTATTCAAGAAACAACTTAAAATACAAATCATTTTGTATAAATATTTTGAATGGCCTGCTGCAGCGCACGCGACTTTGTGCTGCTGTCCCTTTCTGTTGAATCCCCATTTTTGGATATTCCCAGTTTTTAGGTGTCAAATTCTCAGGGAAATGGGGCACTTCATTTTACCTATCTAGTCTTAAAATTAAGACAAATTTGATTGGAGCGCATAAAAGATGAAAAATTGCTACGAGAAAAACATTTTCTTCAAAAGGGGAAAGTGAAACAAAATACTCAATTTAAGGCCACCAAGCCTAATGTAGTCGAATGCCTGGTTTGCAGCGGGGTATTCCACAAGGAATTTAAAAATAAGTGAAATTATTATTATTGGCTTGGGAAATTTAGCAGCCGGAAAAAGTCGAAATTGATTTGATTTGATAAATAATTTTTCTACTGTAAAATAGTTTTATATGTATTCGAAAATGAATTTGGATTAAATAAATATTGAACTTACGAAATGAATTGAAATGAAATATAAATTTATTATAAGAATTTTTCTACTGAGAACATTATTGACAGCCATTTAGTCTTACCTAGAACCGTCCATAAATTAAAGAGTATAAACTCGAATAAATCACGCACAGACAAGTCATATTTTTGAGGGAGTTCTTTTTACTTTAATTTAATTGCGGAACGGAGGAAGGATTGAATTACCAAACCAGCAATTGTGAGATTATTTAAGTGATTTCTCATTTTTCATTGCTTTCAATTTAATTTATTCGATTTGCTTTGCTTTGCTATTGGAGTTGTGTTTTTATTGAACTCGTCTCTCTTTCGGAATTAGTCTACTTAATTTGTTTGGCAATTGTTGAGCTACAGTCGAAGTCAAAGTGGAAGCCGAAGCCGAGGCTGAAGCAGATCCAACATTTGTGGCACACATGCTAACGCCTTAACGGGACTGTTGTTGCACGCACATGCTGCCATTGGAATGGGTTTGGGAAAGGGACCTGGAATGGGTAAGGGAATTGGAATTGGAATTGGGAATTATTCGTATGGCGAGCCACTCAAGTGGCTACGAGAAGGCCTTTCAAATGATTTCCTTTTTTTTTTTTGGTTTTCTGTTTAGCGTAGAAAAATATTTATAACACTTGACAAGATTTTGAAGAGCGCGCAGGCGACACACTTGACTTTTTCTTCTTTTTTGTCGGGGGCTTCCAAGCAGACGACGACAATAACAACGACAACGTGCCGTTAATTTTATGGCTGTTTAAAGATTATTGGAAATTATTTTATGAGTTTACTTAACGAGCAAAACGTTTATGTTTCGCCTTCTCTCTATCGGACTCTGTGTTTTGTTTTTGAGTCAGCTCCAGTCGGCGGTTGGCTTAAGGATTAGGAAGGGAATACATTCATGAGACGCGCTAACCTTTATAAAGACAGAATAGAAAAAGAGAAGGCTTAAGACAAATATTGAAGTCTAGCCTCAAGAGAATGAATTAAGGTCAAGTCTTTAGATTTTGTATAAACTACGAGCAACGCCTCTCAGCACGCCTACGTCTTAGCTGTTACCTAAAGAAGAGCAGCTAAGTTATATGAACATTTCAGATTTTTAGCTCTTACAGCTTGAGCTAGGCATCAATCTTCAATCAATCAACAATCATCAATCTTAACAACTTAAGCTGATGACTGATTATACAAAGCAATTACCATATAGAACATCTAACACATGTCTTATAGGACCTATCAGTCTTCAGTCAGTCAATCAATATCAATCTTTGAGCTAATCTGACTTTGCATACTTTTAATGACTGCAATGTTGACCAAGTATTCAGCTAGGTGTTACAGCTTAAGCTGTGCTCTAGTCTTCAATCAATGCGCAGCTCAATCATTCAGCGTCAATCAGCCAAAATGTTATTTTTCGTTTGCTTCAAAAACTTTAACTAACTCCGCTATCATTTGTATTTATTGTAGTCTCTGCCAAAGCCAACAACTGCAACAGCAACAACAACAGCAACAACAGCAGCAGCAGCAACAGCAACAACAACATCAGCAACAACAACAGCAGCAGCAACAAGCCCACTCAAACGCCGTGTTGGCCACCAGCAATGGGCCCAGCAGTGCCGGCGCCAGCGTGGGCGTTGGCATTAGCGTGGGCGTGGGCGTGGGCGTGGCGGGTCAATGCAGTCCCCTAGGCATTCTGCCGCCTCAAATCCAGCCGCTGCAGCCAACGATTGGGCACTACGCCAGCAACAACAGCAACAGCAACACCAGCAACAACAACAACAACAACAATAGCAACAGCAACAGCAACAGCAACAACAATCCAAATCCAAATCCAAATCCAAATCCAAACCCGAGCAGCTGCAGTCTGGCCTCCAGCTTTGCTCAATCGGCCAGCAGCAGCTTCTCCACATATCAGCAGCCCAGCAGCGAGGAGGTGGGCGTGGTGGGCATGTCCCACTGGACGCACGAATCAGCGCCCGTCAAGTCCGAGTCGCGCAGTCCGAATCAGCTGCATACGCTGGACAATGGACAGTCGGCTGCCGCGGCTGCTGCGGCAGCAGCTGCTGCTGCCAATCTCTACGGCTGCGCCGAGAGCAGCGCAGCAGCAGCGGCGGCTGCAGTGAACAGCTCAGCGGCAGCAGCCGCCGCAGCCGCTGTCTACGACAGCAAGCACGACTACTACTACTACAACAGCATGCAGCAGTACACGCCGCCGCCTTTCTACTCCGGCTACGGCACGCCGTATGCGGCGGCAACCACAGCAGCGGCAGCTGCGCGCAGCGCCAAAATGGAGCCGAGTGCAGCGGCAGCAGCAGCAGCCGCGGCCTATCTGACGCCCAGCTATGCGAGCGCTGGCAACGGCGGCCAGGCCAACAACAATGCGCAGCTTTATAGCAATCCGTATGCGGGCTACAACAACTTCGGGCAGCAGGATTACGGGGGGTACTACAACGAGCAGTATGGCAATTATTATAACCCGGCCAACTACTCGCCGTATGCGGTCAGCTCGCCCAGCTCGAGTGCCAGTCATGGGTTCCATGTGGCCACTGCCTCGTCGAATCTGTCCGAGAGTCCGACTGATACGCACTCAACGACGCCTGTGCATGTGGCCAATCAGTCGCCGCACTCCCCGCTGCCTATCTCAATGTCGCCCAATGCGGGCGTGGGCATTGGAGTGGGCGTGGTCGGCGGTGCGTCTGCTGCAGCAGCTGCAACGCTCAACTCCAGCGGCGGCAGCAGTGTCGGCTCCACATCCGCATCCAAATCCACGCCCACTGGCAAAACAGGGCGAGCGCGTGGTCGGCGTCATCAGCAGCCAAGTCCGACACGCAGCACCGCCTCGGATACGGGCAACAGCGAAGCAGTGAAGCCGCCGGAGCGTGTGTTCATCTGGGATTTGGATGAAACGCTGATCATCTTTCACACCCTGCTCTCGGGCAGCTACGCGAACCGCTACACCAAAGACCACAGCACACTGATGACTATTGCGTTCCGCATGGAGGAGATGGTGTTCAACATGGCCGACACGCATTTCTTTTTCAACGAGATCGAGGAGTGCGACCAAGTGCACATCGACGATGTTAGCTCCGATGACAATGGCCAGGACTTGAGTAGCTACAACTTTGCCACAGACGGCTTCCACACTGGGACCCCGCCCGGTGCTCCGCCCAATCTCTGCCTGCCCACCGGCGTGCGCGGCGGCGTCGATTGGATGCGCAAGCTGGCCTTTCGCTACCGCAAGATCAAAGACATCTACAACAGCTACAGGGGCAAGTGAGTATCAAAGATCGGGCACTCTGCAGGGAAGCTTTTACTTATGCCACTATCTTACTCCTCTTTCAGCGTGGGCACCCTTTTGGGCCCTGGGAAGCGTGATGCTTGGCTGCAGATACGCTCGGAGATCGAGGTGGCCACCGATAACTGGGCCACGCTTTCACTCAAGTGTCTCAGCATGATTGCCCAGCGCGAGAACTGCATCAATGTTCTGGTCACCTCCACGCAGCTGGCGCCGGCGCTGGCCAAGGTTTTGCTCTTTAACCTGGGCAGCATATTCAACATTGAGAACATCTACAGTGCACACAAGATCGGTAAGTCCAGTGGAAGTGGCCCAGGGGAGTTGCTCGATTCAAATTCCAATTCACTTTTAGGCCAGGAGACCTGCTATGAGCGCATTGTCACGCGTTTCGGAAGAAAGAGCACCTACGTGGTCATTGGGGATGGCGCCGAGGAGGAGTCTGCCGCCAAAGCTATGAACTTTCCCTTCTGGCGCATCTCCGCTCACAGCGATATACGTGCTCTTTACACGGCCCTCGACATGGGCTTCTTATGAAAGGCTTATGGCGTTTGCAAACGCGCACAAATCGCTAGCGTTTCGCGTGCGTTTCTCGTGCAGTTTTGAGTACAAAAAAAAAGAAAACAAAAAGAAAATGGAAAGAAAGTACTTTAATTTATTTATGTATATGTGTGTGAGACAAAACTGTAAACCAGCGCAAAATAATTTAATTATTTTGTTAACAAACCAATTATTCATTAATGCCAAGACTTTTTATTGTATTATATAGATTTTTTAAATTTAATCAACACAACAATTTTTCAAGCAGCAACACGGGAAATTGTTTAATTTTATAATTAAATGTATTGTAAATTAATGACTAACTTTGTCCAGACGACGAAATACCCTATAAATAACTATATATATATATATATACATATATATATATATATACGTATCTAGCACATTAGCGTAGACAAACAATGGAATGGCAGATGAGAAGAGAAATGTGTGGGAGTGAAGAGGGAGAGAGCAGCGAAGATGGAGAACAAGAGAGGAGATCAAAGCCGGAGCAAACACAACAAAAATTAATAAGTAGTTAACGGTTTTTAGTTTAAAAATCAAAGAAAAAACTTAAAATTAAACAACGTAGTATTCAAATTTTAAATAACTATGATAGCTGCATATATTAAAACTATATTTAAAATATAAAAACAAATAAAAGCAACAACGCACTGTATTAAAAACAACAAATGGCGTTTCTCTTTAATTTAAACCTAATTTAATTTAAATTTGAATTACTTCAAATTTACGCGCGTTTTAGGCAATTTTTGCAGCAGCCAGCTTTTGTCTACTATCACTTTGCACTGCTTGGCCTGCTTTATTGGTTCGAAACCCAGCTGACAAATCCAAAAATATGCAGTGAGCTGCCACTCTGTTCAAATTAACGGTAGCCCAGTTGAGTCCAAGGAATGCACTGCAGCATTAGCATCAATAATGCTTAATATTGTAAAATGAAACGCAAAACGGCAAATGGAGCGTGAATAACGGCTGCTGTGTACATACATACGCCTGTGTATAGATATGTGAGCGTTTATATAAATCTGTGTTGTAAAAGTACGTCAAATTAACTATAATTTTATAAATAAATATCAAAAGCGTCTAAATACACACATATATAGAATATTGCCAAGTGCGAAGCAAAATGAGTGCGATTTTGTGAGAGAAGGCAAAAAAAAATGTGGCTGATTGGGGATTTTTTACAAAAGCTTTAAAAAATACCACGATTAATGCAACTTAGAAGTAGGCTGATGGTTTTGTGTGTTTGTAATAAAAAAATGGAAATGTAGTTTAAATAACTAAATATTAGTGCATATAAATATGGCTGGAGCTGTCAGTTGTTTGCTGAATGGTTTACTAAATGTATCTTAATTGTATTGTGTTCGTTTCGAAACCGAACTCAAAGTGTTTTGCCTATCTTCAAATAATGGGAATTATTTGCTGAGTGTGACCGCATCGGTTTTTTTTTAATACCAATAAGTATTTTTTAATAGCATTTGAGTACGCAATCTTGCTAACGCTTAGCAAAAATTAAAGGACAGAAACGACCTTAAATACACCACAAATTAAAATTGCAAGAAATTTTCCAAGACTTTGCTCCGCCCAATTACTAATTGGAATCTCACAGCTCAATTAGTTAGCCTCGCATGCGGCGGAGGAACTTGTTGCAAGGTGTGAAAAACAACATCGAGAGAGTTTAATTGAAAAGCGTTGCAGCCCCAACGCCTGAGACTTATCTGTAGGCCTCTACCTGACGAAATCTGTTGCTGAGTCGTGCGTCCAGCCGAAGAAGTCGTTAACTATGATTTGTAATCTGTGTAAAAGGCACATCCATTGGGGTGGGGAGTTGCAGCTATAAATGAGGATGCGCTCGTGTTGGATAATGATAAATTTCGCATGACGCGTTCTGTTGTAAAATTTTATCGCCATCGCTCAAATCAATTTTTATTATTTTATCGTCGACGCCTGCTGAAAGCCGTATAAAAAACAACAAGACAACATGTTGTATGCCCTGCGTGCAAGAACTGCTTGCAGAACCCATTGAATCCCATCTCATAACTAAGCTCCACTGACGAGGCAATCCATTGCGCAGGAGTTGGCCAAGCAGCCCCAATTCTCATGCTCATTCGCATTCCATAGAGCGGCCCTTCATAGTTCTTCCCTCCCAAACCAGAACAATAGACCTCAACGTTAACAATGCACAAATCATTATCAGTAATTATGCATTGTTCGCGGTGCAGGAGGCAGGAGGCGGAAAGCAGGAGGAAGAAGGCAGGATCTGGGCGAGTTGCTTGCTATTGCTTGATTACAGCTGGCCTTGAACTGCCCTCAATCTAAATATATATATCTATATGTGCTATATTTGTTTCTCGCAGTGAAAAGTATATGTATTCTGCATTTATTTACTTTGTCTTTATATTCACTTTATTTTTCATTTCAACCTCAACACTTAAGGCTTGAATTTTGTTATTTTATGCAATCAGCTCTTAGGTATTGCGCAAACTGTTTGCGCAATTAAATTGTCTAATGCTTGATTTGGTTGAAAATCTAAAGGAATTTTACTTCGAACAGAAGGCTAAAAGGAAACGTAGCCAATTGCTGCACTGTTTACCAGGAAATTTACAAATTAGTTGTTAAGACAAGAACAACACCCTTAAAGCTGAGCAGCTATTAGTATGCATAAATCAGTTAGACAACTCCAGCAGAGGGAGAGCAAAATAACCTGCAGTTGCAGTGGACGTCGAACAAGTAACTTTTGTTTAAAGTGAGCCTCCTTAATAAAATTTTAATAAAATTCGCATCCAGCTCCAGTATTTAAATTTGCCATATCACAAGTCTCAACTACTTAAGATATGTTTTTATTTAAATTTTTTATTCAAAATCAAAAATGTTTATGAATTGTGCTTTCAAGTCTTAAGCTTTTGTATCTTATGTTCATATGGACAGGCTGACGGATAAGAAGACTACTTCTGCCTGCCACATACTTTTTCTTAAAAATATTTATAATATAAATTTATATATAACTATCACTTAAATAAGGAACAAATTTAAACTGATCTAGGTGGACTAGCTTGAACTCCGTGTCAAGCATACATTTTCGATCAATCTGAATCAATCAAACTTTAAAAATAAATTAAAATGGGTATATCAGACCATCTAAAAGCAGACTTTTTTTGTGCCTTGCAAAGGGTCAAAATTTATTTATCTTTTTTAATACTATATATTTGTTAAAATTATTGATAAAGTTTGATTGAATTTATTTAATTTCAAAAACATATTTTAACGAATTGCCTTTCTTTCAATACATTATACATTTTATGAATACATAATTAAAACTTGAAATAAATTTGAAAGTTTGTTCAAAATTGATGAATTGATGTCTTCGACTTCTCGAACTTCGGTAATGCCATTTATGATCAATTTAAATTTTGACAACATCTGGAGCGGCCCTCGCATCGAGGGCTTTGCAATGCTCTCACAGCGCAAGTCGTTGGCGTTGGGTCATAAATTAAACTGCATTTGGCTATTTTTGTGGTCATTAGGCGCGGCTGCAGTTTGTCTGGTTGCTGTGCTCTCTGCAGCCCGCCTGTCAGTTGGTCAGCCTCCTCTTCTGACTTGGTCCTGTTTCCTTTTGGCTACAACAATAACAACGACTAAGACAAAACGCAACACAAGTTTTAATGAAGTCTAGCCATGAGTTCTAGTTGAGTTATGTCTGGGCTGACTTGAGAGTTCATACGGAAATGGCATTATGAGTTATGCCTGTTGCCTGTTGCCTGTTGCCTGTTGCCTGCGCCCACACTCACTCTCACTCTCTTTCTTACTATCCCCTCTCTCACACTCCCTCTCTCTCTGCCCGTCTCTCTCGTTCTGAGCGTGTGCTACAGTTCAATTAACATAATTAATGTGCGTGTCTTTCTGGCTAAGAGCGCTTTGATGCCGCTGCTGCTGCTGCTGTTGCCGGCCAAGTCTTACTTGCATTTAGGGCCTGCTGTCAACATGTTGCGCGTGGCATTATGATATACACTGTAAATTGTTTCACTGGCAATTGAAAATTTTGAGCTGCTTTCATTGCCTTTAAATTATGCAAAAACTTAATTCGAATTGTCAATTTAAATTATTATATCTTCTAGAATGTACCACAATTTCTGACAGTGCATTTTTCGCTTTAATGATGTTTCCAATAAATGAATATTTATAAATTTACTGTTTACTTTTAAATATATATTATTTTTTTATTTTTTAAATATGCTTAGCATTCAGCAATAATTTTACACGGAATCTTAATTCTAGCTAAATACTATTGCATCATTTTTTACAGTGCACATTTCGCATTTCATTACAACAATTTGGCTGGGCTTATTGAAGTCTCGTTGAGGCCTCAGTTCCAGTACTTCAGTTTTGCACCTTTACACTGCTCGCTTTATGGATAATTACCAACACTAGACTATATATATATAATGTGTAAATGTATAGCATCTTCAGCTTCACCTGAGAGTCTATAAGTCTTTCGCTCATTTAACAACCAGTCTAATTGCTTGCGTGCCTAATGATTTGGCCCCAATTACAGACCAATTGTCTGCCAACTATCTGACTGGAGCATATCTGTGTTCTTGGGAAAGCCTCATTTACGTCAATTATGCTGGTTATGACTTCGTTTCAAGGCCAACTAAGTTGAGGTTGGCCTAATCGCACATGACACAACTGTTGCGTAACTCTTGAGATGCTTTTCGAGGCTATTTTTAATAGACATGCTCTAAACTCATGCTCATGAAGTAAGCAAAACTTAGCTTCGGGGAAGCATAGACTGGAGCATATAGCATAATATACAGATCCCTATATAAGGATATACCTAATGTAATACTGTTGACAGCTGAGCAGTGTTATTTGTATTTAATACCTAGTTAAGCCCAATCTTAAAGCAACTGCCATGGAATACATATTAACATGGTAGTCGTATATATGCGCCGAGAATCTACTATCCCATTTGGCGCTCTTGACTTCGTCTTCATGTTAAATCAGTTAATAAATATGCAAGTGCCGTGTAACCTACAGACATCAACTTTTATCACTCATTTAACTTTTTCTTTCGCTCCTGCAAGCACCTGCATTGAAGTACTCGCACAACTTAATGCTTTTCAAGAAGCTTACATATAGCTTGTAATACATAGAACTTCTTGCCACCTACTTAAATAAGTTATTGTGGCACAGGAAAAACTTTTCCTGCTGAGAGCTGCCCGCAAGTTTTGATTGAGACAGGTTAGCATTTATTTACTTGCCATTTGATGACTGTGTTGCATGCAAGTAAAAGTTTTGGTCTGCGTTATAGTTGATGCATAAGTGCAGTAGAATGTGGCATGTTCACTAGATGCTCGAAGGTGACAATGGCTGTTGCTGAGGTGTTGACAGCCTAAGCAGCGCAGCGCAGCGCAACGGCGCAGACATGTGTGTGAAATATGATATGCTCATTAGGGGCTGCCCTCTGCAAATGATCCAGCCCCTCTTTGGAGCTGCCCTGAGGGATGGCATGGGGCGCGGTTCGCAAGTCAAGTGCATAAATAAATGGTTGGCGCTCGTGCTCGCTCTCTTTCTTTTATGAGAAAGATGATGATGATTATGGCATTGCAGCGCTAAGCGGCTCGAAAACTGGCGCACAGCTGCGTCCCCGCCATCTGTGATATATCATTTTAAGGCTCGGCGTTACTTATACCTGCGCCCGGGCGAGCACACAGATAGCAAGCCAAGCCTCGTCAGCGAGCGGGGAGTGGGGAGTGTTGAGTGGGGAGGCGGTAGGTGGCGTAGTTGTTGTCGCCTTGCCACCCACCCAGTAGCAATCAAAAGGCCACAAACCGAGCGAGAAATTAAAGCAGTAGGGCAGGCAAAGTAAAGTAGCTCAAAGCGAAGCAAGTTAAAACGTCGCACATTTAACTAGTTTCGTTTTTGTTTTATGCAGACCTCGTATCATTTTATGCTGCAATATGCTGCTTATACACTGCCAAGAGCTACTCACTTGCATGTTAAAATGTGCAGCCTGGTTATAAACGTAAGAAGTATGCTATTAAACAACCCTTAAGCTCTATTAGTTCGACTTTAAGTGTACTTCAGATCTACATAAAGTAGTCAAAGCTTATATGGGCCTATTCTGATTGTGTGGCTCATAAAGTGTCATTTGCTAGGTAGTTGCATATTAGATTTGCAACCACCTTGTAAGAGCTGGAAGTAATGTATTGAGTTAGGTATATATACATTCTATATCGTAAATCCCATGTTATACTTGCAGCCAGTTATTGGAATAAAGTTATTTTGTCTGAACCACTTAAAGAGTTAATGAAGGTCTTATATTTCCATGCTATATTTGCCTTACAGTTGCTAATATCTTTGACTTCACAACTACTCAGGCAGATGTATAACTTTGCAACCTGGTTGTAAGTAAATAAAGTTACTAATATGATACCTTCATAAGTCTCATGTGGCCTGACATGCAGAGATATAGTTTACTTAGGCTAATGGGTGTTTTGTGATAGGTAAATTAGTTATATTATTTACATATATGTATTTCATTTTATAAGTTTATTTGTAGGCTTACTGTTTATATGTTACGAACTCAGATCTTAGAGCATTGGCAATTCGATGCAGCATAGATCGTTTTTGATACCTGCTTTTTATTTTTTGTTGTTAAACCAGTCCGCTTTTATAGTGCGTGTCCAAGCGGCATAATAAATCACTATAACGCCCACCTATGCGAAACTCAGATCAGCGATTAAGTCATCATCATCAACTGCACTCGACACAAAGAAAGAGAGAGCGAGAGACAGTGTGTAGGGAAGAGAGAGTAAGAGAGAGGCCTGGCCACGAGCCAGTGTTGGAAACAATGCGTCGTTGTCGTTGTTGTTAATGTTGATGCTGATGTTAATATTGTTGTTGTTGCTTGAAGCTGACTCGAGGTCAGCCTTGAGTTTGGGTTTGGGCTTAGGCGCCAAGCGCCAAGCGCCAAGCGCCATTGGGTCCAATCATTTAAAATCCAATAAAGATGTTATCCGCCAGACCAAGCAATGAAGTCATTTACAATGTAAGTTTTTATAATGTTAAGAACAGGAACTCAAGTTCTTTTGGTTATGAGCTTAAAAGAAGGCACAGCAAAACTGCTCTAGCCGGAAGATTCCGACTGGCAGACACCGCGAGCACTGCACTGAATGAAGACGAAGATATCGAAAATGTAAGTTTTAGCTTCTAAATATATTTATTTATTATTTTATATATATTTGTACTTATTTAAGTTGTAAGTCTCTGGTTGATAGCATCGACTCGTGCATGCAGGCGGATAGACAGATGGCCAGGCCTAATCAGCTCATCTCATTGTTCTGATCAATAATACAGCGCAGCTTTGACTTAAACTTCGATTAGTCTTATTTAGCACAGATATGAAATTAGTTACGCTTACTTCACTCAATCATACACTCTAATTTAACAGACAAAAATTAACGTAAGGCAAAAATCAATACGAAAATGGATGATGAAGACGATGCGGATGTGTTGCCACCGGCGAATCTAAACACTTTTGCCATACCCAATGAGCCGGACCTGCTGGTGGAATATGAGCTATACAATCCTTCGATGGCCACGCGACGGCTGTACAGCGAGCGCAAACGTCTGATCTACACGGAGGCATTCATCGAGAAGGAACGCCTGGGCACTTTGTCTGATCTTTCTGTGCGAGCGCTGGCTAAACTGGGCTGTCGCTATATTCCCCCGGTAGTAAGACAGGATCCATTAAAGATGCGCATTTTCTACGATGCCTTGGACGTTAATATGCCGCTGCAGGATTGTTACTTCGTAGAAGACTTGCGATTCTGGCGTCGTGTAGTGCTCGCAAAGAGCTCGAACAAGGCACTGTCCCTCAAGAAGATTGACGAATATGACTGGAAAGGCGCAGGCGTGAGCCTCAAGTATGTAGAACTGGTCGAAGCTTGTCCGGCCGCCTATTGGCCGGAGGTGAAGATGGCAAAGCTGGGCCAATTAGTGCAGCCTTTTGTGCGAACTCTTCACATCAAACATTTGCAATCACTTACAGACGATGCCTTTCTACACTTCGTCGAAAGCGAATCGGAGCTGGATGTGACATCCGACGAGGGTGGCTTATCCGATATATCCAGCGACGAGAGGTAAGACGATGCCTTTTAAGTAGGGTGGAAGTAGGGTTGTGTATTAAACATTCGTTCTAGGGACACATCGGAGAGCGGCGAGGAGGAGGGAGAAGAGGAGGAGGAGGCGGCAGCGGCAGCGGCAGCGGCGCTGCTAGAGCAACCACCTAAAAAAAAGCATGAAGATCCCACAGTGCACATCGCTGAAGCCGTTAAGCTGGATGAAAAGCAATCAAAAAACTTGGATTCTGAATCTGATATGCGGAAAACAAAGTCGGTTACGGAGTTGGATATAAAGCGACGACAAGCGCGCGCGGCACGTAACGCGGCACGGCAGCAGCTACGCGAGTTGCGCGCGGAGGCGATGGCCGAGCACGAACGTCGCAAACGACAACGCGTGCTTTTACGAAGAAAGCCCGACCCGCCGCCAAAGTCTAAAAAGAAAAAGAAGAAGGTCAAACAACCCGTCGATGATATTTTCAATATGGATGTGCCCCCAGAGCCGGAAGATGGCGAGGACAAAAAGGCGGATGGACGAAACAAGGAGAAGCTGCTGCGACGCTTTAAGCGCTATGATTATCCAGCCAAGCATTGCCATCACATTAATCTCAGCTTTGTGCGCTTTTTCATACATCTCGTCTCGCTGACCATAGAGTTTCTCGGCCCCGAGATGGATCGCACCTACCATAAGCGACATATGAATTTCTCCTACGATGACATGGTCTATCTGAGCAAGGGTCTGCAACAGTTGCCACAGCTAAAAATATTTCGCTTGAGGAACAGTCGGATGGATCACATTAAGCTGTTGATATTGGCGCGAGTGCTCAAACAGCTGGATTCGCTGGAAGTCCTGGACTTTGGGTACGATCAGCTCAATGATAATTGTAATGTGGCGCTCGAAATGCTACTAGAACGGCCGCGTATGCTCAAGGCGCTCGAGCTAGAGTACAATAGGCTAGAGCGGACTAGTCTAGTGGCTATTGGCCAAGCGCTCAAGTATAATGCAATTGGGTATCCCGATGGCAGTCCTTTGGAGTACTTGGGCTTAGCTCACAATCCAATCAGCGATGTTGGGCTGTCCTTGCTCGTCGGTGACATCATTGGTACCAAGCATGTACAGGAACTGAATATTAATGGCATTGAGACTAGTTCGACCCGGTTAGCAACCATCCTTAGCAGTCTGTTACGCAATCATACGCCGTTGCGTAGTGTGGATATGGCGGCCACTAAGCTTAATTCGAGTACGGGAAATGTCCTGATCTGCGCTCTACAGACGAATCATAAGGTTATTCATTTCGATTGCCGCGCCTGCTGTTTGAGTGAGGAACAGGAGTTTGAGGCAGATATTATTGTGCGCCGCAATAACTTCGAGCTCCAGCATACGTATTTGGGGGATGAGACACAAACGGAGGAGAGCATGTTGAAGTTCTTAGCCGGACTTCGGCATCCCATTTTAACGAAAATAGAATACGAAATGGCGAAGCGTGATGAGTGTATTTTGAATCGTCCAGCCGAATCGTCCAGTGAGCCGGTCGTTGCTGAGGAGCGAGTAGGCGAAGAGCAGGAGGAAGAATATGATATTTGGGCCATGTTTGGTGTCAGGAAGGCAAGTGTCGTCCAACCCGTCGAACAAGAATCTGTGATATCCTCGCATCACAGCGAACGTTCATTCGTCTACAACTCGAATACATTCAACTTGCAAGAGATCCGCGAGCATCTCTATTTACCGGGTCCCGAGAATCGATATTACTATTTTCAGAAGCAAAAGGAAATGTAAAATAGTACGTTGGTTATACAGATTTTATATAGGATAAGGGTATGCAGACTATTATAGTTAGAGAATTAAGTGAATATAAAATATGAAGATTGTAATGGCAACGGAGAGTAGACATAGCTTACAGGGTATATAGCGATTCAGAAGTCTTCATATTTGTTTTTGATCCGAGGACTCATTGTGCTAACAAAATTGTTCACTCCACTTGGTATGTTAACTGTTTGGCTCTAACAAGCTACCAAAATATATCCGGAATATATCAAAGAGTTCCAAATTCATGTTAATTTTTTTTCTTGTTTCAACAGGATTCTAAATTAATTAGCTCTACTAAAACTTGTTTGGTAATTTGATCAACACAGAGAAAGGGGCGGCCCCTTTCTCTCTGTCTGCTTTCTGATTACATCTCATTGCAAGTACTTGACAGCCCTAAGCAGCTATGACTAGGCATTTCTTGCTGGACACACCTGTTGTCGCCAACAATTTGAACGTGCAGTCAACCAACATATTCCGATGGACTTTCCTTTGAAGTGTGTTTGTCGCACTGTTTCTGAAGAGCTTCCGCTTTTGCTGACATGCGAAATCAATTGAAAATACAAATATTCAAGTACAATAATAAATAATAAATAATTATAATAATAGTAGTAGTAGTCGAGCAGGAACCGCTAACAAACACCCACAAGCGACGCTTGCCCAAGTTCGTGTGAATTTATTGCTTAATCATGCGCCTTTTAGCCACACTATTCGAAATGTAAATAAATGCAAATGCTGTTGCACCTTTAAGGTATCTGGTCTCTGTGTTCCCGGTTCCAGGTTCTGTGCGTCTGCTGTGGCTTTGCCTATGTTAACTGGACACACTCACTGCATGTGTGTGTGGGGGGGTTTTTGGCCAGGTGGGCGTACTTCAACTGCAACTACAACTACAACTACTACGATGGCGACTGCGACTGCAGCTCCAAGTAGCTGCTGGGCAAGTGGGTCGAAAACACAGCAAAAAATGGGGAATAACATCAAATAAATCTGAAAACATTTCTCTCATTTGGAGCTATGTTTAAAGATGTCCCTGATTTTGACGACCTTGGTTTGAATTTTTGTTATATACATATACATATATATTCATAAATAAATCTTTTGTTACCATGAACAAAAATATATTCTTTTCTTTCAATTTACCTTAAATTGTATGAGTTTGAAAGAAAGAATTTTTTTATTTTTTTTTAGTATTCAAATACAATTTTTATTTTGTTATATTCCTTTTCTTTCAATTTACCTTAAATTATATGAGTTTGATAGAAAGACTTTTTTATTAATTTTTTTTAGTATTCAAATACAGTTTTTATTTTGTTTAGTCTGAATTGACAAAATTTGTGTTTCTGAATTGTTTTTATTTTTCTACTTTAATCATCAATTAATATATAATATAATATCAATATACAAGTTTATTAATTAGTCGTTGTCGATATTTATTCTTATACAATTAGAAATTGAAAATGTCGCCAGAATTTTACTTATGGCAGTGCTGTGCGATGAGACGTTTCCTGTTTGTTTAATAATAATTATTGTTATTCATTTAAATAGGTAATTTAGCCATTTATAAGCATTTAAAAATTATTTATTGCTTATTTTTCTCATTAATTGAATTTTAACATTTCTTGCTAGAAAAATATGTTTCGAAATTATATTAAAGTTAGCAAATTCTTGTTAAACTTCATCAAGCTGCTGTTTTAATAAAATCAACTGATGAAACTTTACTTTTTATTTAAAATCGAATTTTTGTGTAGCATAAAAAAAAATTTTTTTTTACATTTTTTAGGCGACATTTATGTATTCATTTAATCTTTCAATTTATTGTCAAAGCAAAATTTTCATTGAAATTGCATTTAAAAAATGCAGTTTATGGCCGGAAACTTTTTACTGTGAACTGATGAAACTTTGCTGTTTGTTTTATTTGCTGTGTGGGCGGATTTACTTGTGAAGCACTGCAATTAATATGAGGCACACGCAATAGCAACAGCAATGGCTATAGCAACAGCAGCAACAGCTTGCTGCCACCCACACGGTGGCAATAAAACCCGTTGCCAGGCTTTAACTAATCCACACTTTGCTTGGCGGACATTTCTCAATTTTGTATTTCTATTTTGTAAACGCCGGAAAGTGCAAGTGTATATGTTCTAAATATAGCTCACAACTATAATGTGATTATTTTCATAATTAAATAATATAAGTTAAGCAGAACTCCTGAACATCAATTTTCCACCTCCAAAGCTCCACTGGCGCAACTCAACAATCACCAACGCAACATGTTTGAAGCTTAACAGCGGCTGCCGTTAACATAGCCAATAACTGTTATTCCAACAGAGCGATTTTTATGATGCTCATGATGCTATAGCTTGACTTGGTTATTAAGAATTATTATTTCTTATTTATTTATAATTTTTTGTTTATTATTAAAAGGTTTCTAAAGAGGGCAACTTTTGTGGCGGTCAAATTGATTTGTGATTTAATTATTATATTGCAGGCTTTCTGTTCAAGCAAATTTGAATTAATTTGTCATATGTGTATATGAATTAGAATTCTAAAAAATTTGTTGGTTTGCTTTAAATTTTAGTTTAATTATATATAAATAATTAATTTCTACATCTTATTGAATTCGTCATTATTATTTCATTCATTATGAAATTTATAAAATTCATTGTGTTAAGAACTCGATTGTCCAATTTGAATTTGCTTTCAACGAAAGCTGTGTGGCAGCCACCCCCGCTCTATTGTTAACTTGTTTTGTTGTTGTTTTAAGTCGAACCATTCGGTATGGCCAGTCCGGCCAGCTGGCTGGGTCTTCGAGCAGGTTGGCATCGTGTTCGTCAGTCAGCAAACGAGTCTCGACGCGCGCGGTTCACGAATCGCTCGCTCACAACTTGGCCTGAGCCGACCTGACAACCAAAATTTGATTTTTAATGTTTAATGAAAAAAGAATTAAAAAAAGAATGATGTAAAAATTAAAAACGAATTCAACAAATAGAAAAATAATATACAAATAGTATCTTTTTTGCTAATAATATCTGTGCCGAAGATATATATATATTTGATGAGCTTATACTGAGATCAGGTGTAAGCTTGAAGTGTAGTGCAGTGAGTCCAAGTCGAAGTCGAGTGCGCTCTAAATCGTTTATAGAACGTGTAAAGCGTTAACAGTTCAACAAATTCGTTTGCTATAGGCCCCGAAAACATCATGAGTATTCAGCTGTTGTGCAGCATGCTAATGGAGTTGTAAAAAGAGAAAAGTATGTACAAGCCAAATGAGTGTCTAACTGACTGTCCAATACACTAGTTTTACTCTACAATTCAATCAAATTGCTTAAATCGGCAATCTACATTCATATCTCTAGCAGTGGAGTCAAGAAAGTTTATATTCTGTGTAAGAGTTTCGTTTGAATATTTAACTAGTGCCAAAATACTCTCCTTTACATTGTAAGCAGTGTGTACAAAAAGTATGGCAAACTGTGATAAGCCTTGATATTTAAAGCCTCAGCTCAGTGCTAGGGCTTAACTCTAAACAAATTTCAATTTCACTTGAGCCCAGAGGTGTTAACGTCTTGTGGCTTGTGGCACACTCGAGTGCATTTGCTGTACTACTACTCGAAATGAAGATTCGTTCATGGATGCTAATTAATCGATGAAATAGTAGCTCGATTCTGCATAACTGGGTCACAACATAATATGCCACTAACTGAATGAATTCAATTTGGTTGCGCGATGCATTTTACGAGCAACAGCTGGCAAAAGTTGTTCAAGTGCTGCTCTTCGCTGTTTACATTTCTTATATACTTTTTCGAAATGTTCAGCACTTTAGGTAAACACTTGAATGTTTACGACTTTAGATTGTTTTTGCATTTTAAAGATCTGCAATTTATGTTTGTTTTGGCTTATAAGGTAAATATGAAGTGCTTGGAGATACGCTGTGCTTTCTAGACACAAAAAGTAATTCTCTGTAAATTTCACTAACTAAACTGTTGACCAACAGAACAGTTGACTGATTGCACCATTATGCAAACAAAGCCTCAATTTTCTCATTTACACTGGAAATGCTTTCTTAAGAACTTTCGTTAAGCTTAGTTAGTTGGAAACTTGGCTGAAAGCAGCTGCACAAATGCTCGGAATTACGAAGGAAATTCAAAGAATGTTGATTGAAAGTAGTTTGATTATGGGTTCTTAGGGTATCTGGTCTTTCATGTGCTTTTGCATTCTATTGATTCTATTTTATTTTAAGCTCTGCTACTGCTTTGTAGCAACGTGTCCTGTTGACTTTGTTATTTGATATTTCCACAATTTCGCTTTTCCTGTTACATTTGTAAACTGCCACAGATTTGCAGCTTTTGTTTATAATCAAAAAGTTTGCTTACGTAAATTTTTGCTGGCTGCAAATGCAACAAGCTCGTTTGTTAACATCAGTTCTGTAGCATCCGTCAAAAATAGTTATTGCCCACAGTTGTGCCATAAAGTTGACTAGTTTATGGAGGAAGCATAGCTGCCTGCTGGCGGCTGGCTGGAGGTGTTGCTACACAGTAAACAAAAATTGGGAGTTGTGGGAACAAAATAATAAAAATATGTGAGCAATAAAAGTGAGTGCTTAACTACAGTTTACATTTTAAGAGTTTCAAAAAGTGCGCTAAAACCAGCTAAATCTACAAATATAAAATCTTTTTACTGAAGTGCTCCTAGCTTTTGTTTTGTCTCAATGGAGAGGTTCTTCGTGGCGTCTTTGAGAGAGAGTGGGATAGCGGAAGACTTTCTATTATGAAAGAGATGAGAACTCAGCTATTTTCAAATTCATGAAGTATTTAAATTATTTTTATTTATTTAAATTTTATTTTGTTTAATTTTTAATTATTATTTTATATTTTCAAATTTTCAATTGTAAACAAAGCATATCAAGTATTTTATATACTTAAAATTGCAATGAAATTTTGTGTTGGTTAAAAAAAAATTGAGTTAAAAATGTTCTTTTGTCTTTTCCGCCTCTTAAAAATATTTACTAAAATTAATTTCTATTCACTGATGTTTAAAATTTTAATCATTAAAAATTCTATATTTGTATATTAAATTTCTGTTTTCAATAGTTCAAACTGAAAACAAATGAAAACTGTGAAATTCAATTATTTTTAATTATAGATTTCAATGTAATTTGAATTTAATTTCTAAAATTTCAGATTTATACAAAAATTGTTCTCTGTGCAGTTGGTGGAATTATTTATGCAACCAACGGTCATTTTACACCTCTGACCGTCTAATGCGCTCTGCGGTCAGGTTGTCAACGGTGCACCGTTCAAATTAGCCATGCAATTTGTACTTAACAATTTGCCACATTGCTGCAACAGTCGCAATAGTTGCAACAGTCGAGGCGGAACGCTTCTAGCTAGACTCTGCTGTGTGCAGAGGCGTTTTGCACGTCCGGAGCTAATAATAAAATGGACAAGGACTTAAACCCACAACACAGACCTAGACGTAGACGCAGACGCAGACGCAGCTGACGACAAGCGACAAGTTTATCACTTGTTAAGCCAGAGCTGCAGACACGCAGGCAAAAGCTGAACCACGCTCGAGCCCAGACTACGTCTTGGATGCAGTCGACATGCTGGCAGGCACAGATGGGCGAGGCAGATAGCGCAGACAGCGCTGCCACAATTTGCATGGCAGCAGAGTTCAACTCGAGCCATCCAACCAT